CCTTTAAAAACCAGCACAACAATTTTCTTCAAAAATTGTTTTCTAAGCCTAGGGACCTCGAAATTTAATTTCGGGCATACACCCAAGTCCCATATTTTACTGCGGACCTCCCAGGATCGTCGGAACATAGATCCGGGTCCATTTACCAAAAATATTGATCAAAGTCAACTAAAAACTAAATTTTAACTCTAGAAATTACTATATTTTTCATATTTTCACATAAAAGCTTTTCGGTTTCACGCCCGAACTGAGCACGCAAGTCGATACACGTAATATGAAGCTAATCGTGACCTCAAACTACCGAACCGGACGCAATTGCTCAAAACGACCAGTTGGGTCATTATACCACACCTCAAAGGAAGATAGTTAAAATGGATACTCATAAAATAATTGACTTTCGGTTCCGATGCTTTATCATTATCCTAAAAATAGTAAGGTTCGGACTCCTCCGGCATAGTAGAAGTCCAAGACGCATTATCCGCTTGATGGATGCGTTTTCTTGCATTTGTATCATCCAAATACCTTGCAGCGCCTTCCCCAGAATACGCCACCATCAATGGAACATATGGTCCTTTTGGAAGCCCATAGTGTGTCCTGAAGTAGTGAGCAAACCAACCGGATACTTAATGAATGGGAAAGGATATTTTGATATGCTTGAGCTGCGAGGACTTAGAGATCTTGTTCAAACCGTGGTAGATGCTCGCTAGAACTGGGATCGCGAGGCTGAATTTCCATCCATATGCCATCATGCTCGCTGTTTTAAAGGTCTCGGGTCGAATGAAATCACCATCTGGAGAGGGAAATACAAATGCACATAACCAATAAGATAAGAATGCCGCCAGATATGTACCTTCTCTCTTTTCATGTCGAACCCCAAGGTTAGAAAACATCGTGTTATCCGCGCTAGACCATGCAACTACTTCTGGTATAGCTCCAGTGGGATCTTCAAACGGGTAGTGTTTTTCTCCTTCCTTGCTGGAGCAGGTTTATATCTCAAGTCTCTCTTGCACCAAAATTCGATCCACTTGCTAAATGAGACCTTTGGATCATGAATCTCCCCTTCTTGAAGATGGTTAAAGGCGGTAAACAGGTATCCACAAGCTCGAGGAGTAAATCTTTCATTCTTCTCATTAACACCCGTGAGTTCGATAGTTTCAGGCACAACTTCTTCGTAGGGAGAACCTCCAATAGGTAAACCGCCAATGGTATGTAAATCCCAAAGAGATATTGATAGTTCTCCGGCTGATGTAAGTAAGGTATTTGTTGTAGGACACCAAGCTTCAAGAAACGTTCGCAAGATGTTGGAATTTCGATCATATGTAAATAAAGAAGCATAGACGACATCATAAATTCTTGCTGTCTCCAAAGCCCGTTGACTTCTACCAAGTATGTCCTCAGCCCATTCCCAATATCCCGAGATATGATGATATTCACCGTCAATTCTCAAAGTATCTCCCCAACGTATCTCCCTTTGAATTATACGCCGTCCTAGGCAAGGAAGGGTACTCGCGATATTTAGTTTTTGCTGGTAAGGAGTCAGAAGGGACCACATTTTGGTTGGCTTTTGGTTGTGCTCTGAAGTCCAATCTACCATATGGAGGGAATTCTGCAGAGGTGGCCAAAGATCTGCATATCGACCAACTAGTGGAGGATAAGTCAACAGCTTGGTTATAGCCCCTCCGTTCTTGGCGTCGATTATGAGATACTTGCGCTTGGAGGATGGAGATGTGTAGTCTCTGAAGTGAACCATCATTTTAAAACTGCGTAAGAAAAAAGGGGAGATTAGTAAATATTAAGCAAACAACAATTGACAAAAGGAGAAGATTCTAGTCCTTTGTGCTTTAGGCAAGTTTCTATATGCGATTAAGATTTTTCTTTCTCCTATATGTCGTCGTGGGGTTTAATCTTCTATATGTTGGTATGGATTTATCCGTCTATATGTTGATGTGGATTCATCCGTCTATATGGTGATATGGATTTATCCGTTTATATGTTGGTATGGATTTGTCCGTCTATATAGCAATGAGGATTTGTCCGTCTATATGGCGATGAGGATTTGTCCGTCTATATGGCGATGAGGATTTATCCGTCTATATGTTGGTATGGATTTGTCCGTCTATATGCTGATGAGGATTTGTCCGTCTATATGCTGATGAGGATTTGTCCGTCTATATGGTGATGTGGATTTATCCGTCTATATGATGATGTGGATTTGTCCGTCTATATGTCGATGTGATGTGTCTGTCTATATGTTGATGTGGATTTGTCCGTCTATATATTGAGGGGGATTTGTCCATCTATATGTTGATGTGGATTTGTTCATCTATATTTAGGTGGATGTGTCCATCTATATGTTGATGTTGATGTGTCCGTCTATATGGTGATGGAGATTTGTCCGTCTATAAGTTGTTATGGATTTATCCGTCTATAAGTTGTTGCAAATTGATCTGTCTATAAGTTGTTACAAGAACCGTCCGTCTATAAATTGCTATGGATTTAACCGTCTATAAGTTGTTGTGAATTTATCCTTCGATGGGATGTTATGTAGTTGCTCGTCAACTTAGAACTCGACGACTTTTCTTCATGGGTCTAAAAAATAAAGGGAAAAATTAGACAACAAAGAAGAAATCACAAAAAAAGAAGAAGAAATTATCTTCGCATTAATGCTCTGAGTCCACAAAGCTAGACTCAATATGGCTTGCAAATACTAGGAATTGATGCTCAATAAATACGAGCATGGGGTTTATATAGAGTTGGCAAAGCGGCTGACGAAAACATATTTTCGATGTGGGATTGTTGCCACAATTGTTCTCCTATACAGACTCGGTTGGCTAAGGGCGACACGACAGAAGTCTCCTATTTCAATTTGAGTTTAATGGTAGAAATTTGTCCCAAACAATATCTGATTCGGCGGACTTGAATCCCTTGGATAAAGCCGATGATGTTGCTGCATATATTAAATGAAAGATGGTTGTAATTTGAATTACGTAATCCACGCAACGTCACGTATTAACTGAATTGGAATTGTTTGAAGTGTACCTGGAAGAGCTAACATATTTTGGAGTCTTTTAAAACTGGAAAATCATGACACTGAGATTTACAATTCAATAGCTTTTATATTTTGCGTGATTAGTCACAGAGCAATGAATTTGAAATTTAAAGTTCAATGACTTTAACATTTCATGTGATCAAATGTACAAACACAAATACTTCAAGCCTAGTCTTCCGTAGGGGCATTTGTAGGCATGTAAATTTTATTAAAATTAAATCCATGAAATAATTTGGACTATATTTTAAATTCAAGATATATTGGTCCAAATAAATATATGGGCTAATATAATTGAATTAATTATATAAGTCCAATATATATGGATTAAATAAATAAGTCTTAATCCATTGGGCTAGCCCATTTAATTGGGCTAAAGTGATGAGCCCACTTCATTAAGCCCAAGATGTCATCTTCCTAGAGGCCCAGTTTGGTGCCACGTGTCAAATGACGTGGCGCGCCAAGTCAAGCGGAAGAGCCAATAGGACCATGCCACGTGTCAAAATGACAAGTAGGGGTATTCATAAAAACCCGAAAACCCGAACCAAACCGAAAACCAAACCAAACCGACTAAAAAAACCGATACTTTTTGGTTTGGTTTGGTTTTGGTTTTGAATTTTAAAAACCGATCAAATTTGGTTTGGTTTTGGTTTTAATCAGAAAAAAACCAAACCAAACCGACTATAGGAGTAGCTATTTTAAATTTATTATTACACCTATATATATATGTATATTGTTATACAAAGTTTCAAAAAATTTATGGTAAATGTTAATAGTTTGCACTTTTAATATAGTTCTTTACCTTTACATTATAGTTTGATTGATAGTTTTCTTTTGTTTAGTGTAAGAATCCATTTGGTGTTAAAAATAACATATTTTTAATTGAGTCCTTAAATTATTCATCACTATTTGATTCAATTATCATCAATATATCTTGGTAAATAATAGATTTCTCAAAGGGCAATTGATTTGATAGTGTTACATTGAAAATGTGGTCGCCGGAATATGTGTTTGGTAGTGTATGTCTTATATTTAAGAAAAAACCGACAAATAACCGAAAAAATTGAAAAACCGACATAAACTGAATCGAGAAAAAACCGACTTAATTGGTTTGGTTTGGTTCTAATATTTGAAAAACCGACTTACTTGGTTTGGTTTCTTTTTAGGGAAAAACCGATCCAAACCGAACCATGAACACCCCTAATGACAAGGCATGCCAGTCACACTGAAAGGCCAAAGAAATCGCGCCACGTGTGCAAGTGACATGTTCTGGCCAATCAAATGCGGCCATGTCACATTTCAATTTGATTGGTCGGAAAGAGTTTGTTCTTGTCATGACTCCTCCCTTCCACAACTATAAATAGGGGTCTTCATAACCTAGAAAAGACACCAGAAGTTATAACAAGAAGCAAGAAAGAGCTCGTGGATCAAACGGTGCAAATTCCTCCACAAGTTTCAAGCTTCAAGCAATCAAGTTCAAGTTCAACAAATGAAGTTCAAGCTCAAGAACGAAGAACAAATCAAGTTCAAGCTCAAGAACGAAGAACAAATCAAGGTTCAAGGAGTGCGAGTTCAAATCAAAGTTCGTGCTAGTTGAATTCAAGATCATCGTTCGTGGCAACAAACATATATTCAAGATCAAGCTTAAAGGCCCTTGAATTTATTTACAATTGGAAAGAAGAATTAGAAGATTCATAGAGGTTGTAACACTTAAATATTCGAAATAAAATACTACAATTGTTGCGATATTTTTGGTCTTAATTTTATTTTTTTGACGCAAATTTATTATCTACAGCTTCGTCACTAGGCATTTCATGATGTGTCACTAGTGTCAAGCAAACACTCAATTGAGTGGCTTATTGGAGGAAAGCTATGAGTCCACTGGCAGGGAAATGAATTTACCAAATTGTAGACTTCATTTACACAGAAGTTTTATAGTGTGCCACACGCAACTCACATTCAACTCATATTAATTGTGTAGGCCTCACTCTTATCAAAATCTTCACAAATTGCGAGACAAAAAAGTTGTCTCGACTAATGTAGACACAAAATAAAATTTTGCCCCAACAACAGTCTAAGGCTAAAACCCTGTATGAAGTGCAGACACTGAGCTTTGGCAAACTTGAGGTACCCCTTCTCTTTTTTCTCCTACCTAATCTAATAGTTTTTCTGATTTGAAATATGTTTGTGAAGTTAACGACTTTTTCTCAATTATATTTATGGTGTATCGAGGTATTTAGAATTTAGGGTTAGGCGCCATTTGATTGGACTGTTTTAATAGATTTTGGGATTTTTTTCTCACAGAAAAATCACCTTTATTTGGATTTAATGGAATGGGTTTGCAAAATATTTGATTTTTTTCATGATTCTTGATAGTTTTAGGTTTTTTATTTTTTTTATTTTTTTATTTACTTTATATTCATCTGCTTTCTTTGCTTACTTTTTCTTACTTTTTCTGCTCTCTGAGAAAACGACTGAAACTACAAGCCTCTTTCGTAAGAGAAATTTCAGTTCTTGAAACTTGCATTCCAGCATAGAAGAAAGAAATTAAAGAAAGGTAGAGAAACCAAAAGGGTCGCTAAATGCTTGATGAAAGAGAGAAGTTTACTTTTTATCTTATTTTGGTGAAAAAACTAATCTATTTTTCTCTTTTTGTATGTTTGGTGATGAAATGGAACTGGGTTTGTAATGTGGTACCCGGTTTTATTATAACTGGATCATCGAATTTTTCTTTGTGGGGTTTTTTCCTTCTAATAGATGCATTGGGTTTTGGAGTTTTTATCGGTACTATTTTTTTTTCTTTTTTGATGATATCAATGCTGGAAAAAATGCATTGGTGTTATTTGGGTCTGCATTTTTTACAGCTGTGTATTAAATTTTTTCTTTAACTAAGTCTTATGTTTGTCTTTTTTTAAGTTTCTTGTTAATGGGTTTTCTTCTTTTGTTAATGGGTTTTAACTTTCATTTTAAAGTGTAATGTTTTTATTTATCTTTTTGTGACTATGGTTGAGATTGGATAGTGCTTTCTCAGTCCCCCAGTAAATTTTATTAAGGAGTGGTTGTATTAGTATTGTGAAATTCAGAACTTTGAAATTCTTTTTACTGATAAAAAAGAAGTCAAAATTTTGGAATAAATAGATGCCTTTTAAGTTGTGGGGCTTGTTACTTGTTAGTATTTGACACCTTTTAGTCTCTTCTTTATGTTAATTGCAAATGGATGTTGGTGCATGCATTTGTGTATGTATCTGTGATATTTTATATTGATGTTAAAGCCCTTTTCTTTTTGCTATTTTTTAAAGTTGTGGTCTTTTCTTTAGCCGAGCCTCTCTGGCCTTTGCCCTTTCCGGGTCGGGGCAAGGTTGCGAGCATCTTACCCTCCCCAGAACCCACTTGTGGGAATTTACTGGGTTTGTTGTTGTTATTGTTGTTGTTGTTGTTGTTGTTTATATTCATCTGATTAATGGATTTATTTTCACATCTGAATGCAAAGCAGGGAGCTTGTGCTTTACTGAAGCTGAAAATGGGTTGGAAAAGTTATCAGAAACTCATTCATCAGTGGAGAATTCTCAGAGGTGATAATGTAAGCTCATTAATCACTGGTGATAGGGATTTTTCTAATTATTTTTTTTTCGTTTTGTTTCCAATGCTCAGGTCATGATTATCAGAGGAAAAGATAAAGGCGAGACTGGTACCATTAAGTGTGTCATACGTTCCCAAAACCGTGTAATCGTTGAGGGCAAAAACCTGGTTAGCATTTTTCTTGGCACATGCTTTATATCCTTTAAACGTGTCTTGTGGTAACTTACCCTGGTTGTCAAACATATCTTGTCATAATTTAGTTCCTTTTCACCTTTTTTTGTTTTGCACTGTTTCCAAAATCCTGTTTTGATCTGTTTACTTGTTATTATGTATTAAGGGGTCCTATTGTGGAATTGATACTAATGAGTGGGAGAAGATTTAACATCAATTTGAGAATCTTAACTCATAAAGTTCACCTAATTCCAACTTTGAAGTTGCAACTTGCAAACAGATTTCAAGTCTTACAATTGTTTTTGTTTCTCCTCTTCTGTGTCTCCTCATCTATGAGGGTTATTGTAATGTATCCATATTTATCAAAGGAACATATAATGTGATATTCAACCAAACTGAGGAATTACAACTGATTCATGGAACAAAAAAAATGAAAAATAAGAAAAGGGAGGTTCCAGACTGCTATTACAAAATAGCTAATGAAAAGAAAAGACCAAGTTCTAGCTTGCCTAACAACTACACACACTCCTGCTATTTATATCTCCTCCATTTCCTTCAGCACCCTAATATTTTGATGGATTTTCTCAACCCGGATCCCACATCACATATTGGTATTTCCTCATTTTAACAACTGGCCCAAATACCAGCCCAATAGTATAATTGGTAAAGGACATGTTCATAACAATACTCCCACCCTCAATAAGAACCTTAACCTCAAGGTTCGAGCTAGGGAATTTGCCCTCAAGAATTGTCTTTGCTTTATTGGGCATAGGAAATAGATCACTAGAATTCATTTCACTCCAAGGATGCCTCAAAGCACCATCTGCAATAATTTGCCTACAAGGCAAGATTAAGCCTCTTACAATGAAATTCATATCTCCTATGTCTTCCAGATTCAAAGCAAGCTTCTGTCCGTCATTTGTAAAACCAGTAAAGATAGTTTGAAGTATCAAGACTCCAACAGGCTCTTCCCACACAACATTCATTCCCTTAGCCTTGCATACTGTAGTATGAATATAAATGGTTTTCCTTTGATATCTGTTCTGAAGGAGCATTGTAAAACCTTGCATGAAAGCCCATTTCCAAGGTGATGTAGAAGTACTAAAGAAATTTAGCTCTTGTCCATAACTCTGCATATTTTCCTCATTAGTTCCACCACAGCAGCAACTCATCCAATCAACAAGATACTGTTGATCTTCACTCAATTTACACAAAACACAGTAACCCCAACCTGTTGAGCTTGTAGGTAGTAAAAGCAACACACAGAAAATGACACCAAGGAGGAAATTAGGAAGACCCAACTTTCTACTAAACCAGGTGGTATAGACTCCGGAACGGTTGACGAAAATGGGATCATTCATGACAAAGATAAGAAAGAAAGCACTATGGACAACTTGTCTGTGGTAAGGGCTGCCATATCCCATCATGGAACTTGTGGCTCTTGGGATATCTCCTAGAATGTAGTCCACGTCAATAACAATATCGAGCGTTGGTAATGCTTCCAAGAGCAAAGCAGCAAATGATAAAGCTTCTGAGAAGGCAGGGCTAGATATGGCAAGTATGCTCAATGTAGGTTGCAGAGTATTTCTAGCCCTCTTGTTGGACGGTTCAGAATCCCATTTGGATTTCAGGGCAAGCAATGCAGATGAATTAGTCACTCCAAACTTAGCTGCAGTGAAGTGAAAGAAGTCAGTGCTTGATGAGTTTGGATATATCAATTGGCACATGAGGAGACAGATATCACAACCCATAGCTATGGTATAGAAGGACATCACATAAGATACTGTCACCTTTGTGGCCAGATAGGTTGTATTCTCTGTAGCAAACATAGATTCAGGACATGGTACATATCCATAGACACCATCTTCAAAAGAAGTGGTAGCACCCTTAACCTTATGTGCCAACAATTTAAACAAATATGCACCACCACAACTGGGAAAGAGGCCATTGAGCAGCACCAGTTTCAAATAAGTTGCACAAAATCCAACAATAAAAATATTGATCACTATCATAACCTTCTGCAATTGTTCAGCCACAATAGACAAGATAGCTATGCCCAAAGTAAGCTTTCCAGCAGGCAATGTCCACAAGGGCTCTGCATAAGTCAGTAACGAACAAAACTCTTCAAAAAGTTCAGCAACCACAATTATGTCAGCATGACATGAGGTAAAGCACCGAAGTGCAAGAACAATCTCACGACAAATAAAGTGAGGGTGGAAAAGGTTGTCTAGCAGGCAGGATTCTATAGCAGACCAAGCATGACTTAAAGCTTCTCTGCGCTTCCTATGACATAAAACATGTATTAAGGGGTGTACATCTCCCAGAAGTTGGAGCACGGGTTTTGGTGCTTCTAGTCCTCGTGAACTGCGGTCTGTATGAGTTATCAACAGATGAATCTCAGATTCAGATTGAAGAAAAAATAAACTGAGGATTCGAGAGGCATATCTTGCTTTGTCTTCAACTAGCAATTTGGGAAGCCCTCCGCCATCAGCAACAAACAAGTTAGTTAATATGTTGTGGTCATCGTCATGATCAAAATCAGAAAGTACACATGAAGGACCACCATCTAGTAACATCCAAACAAAACTATCCAGAATTCTGTAAGATGCACAAGAATTTGTAGGATTAGCACTGTTTTGACCACCCATGTCAATTCCCCTTGGATCAGCCTTATATCCCTGCCCACTATCGAACCAATTGTCCACACAACAACAAATAGCAAACATATAGTAATGGTTCAAGCAGATAGCAGTATGCCCAACAAGTATTCGAGCAATGTGCAACTTCTTACTTGGAAACTCAATTTGGCTGCATTGTCGGATATCAAAGGAATCACTTACTTGACCAGTATCTACCCACTTGCAATTGGGTAGTCCAAAATCAGCTGGAAATGAAGCAATAGCTCTATTATAATCATAAAATATTACAGATATTACCCAATCCAATAGTGTATCGAAAACCACACAGCCAAACTCCATGTCAAGCTCCTGTATAAATTCGCTGACCCATAATTTTCCTGCAACTTTGCTCATGCAAATAGCAGTATGGCCAGCACACACTCCTATTGCACTGTTCGCGATAGTCTCAATACTACCCCAAGGCGACTTGGTGTCAATTCGTCGGAAGCTTTCAACAAATACCTTGTCCGTAGGGCTTGAGTTTCCATTTTTCCTCTCATATTTAACCATAGGGGTAAGGATATTGGCAGCGGATAACTCATGGAGGAACATCTTGGAATGGTCACACGGTTGGGACATTGTGTCTAACAGCTGGCCTACAGTAGGCAGCATGGATTTTGCTCCCAATGCCATTGTTGACAGTGGTGTAATACATGAAAGATTCAACTGAAGACTATTATCAAACACAATTTCTATACTGTCAAACACACGTCCAGCTACTGAACCAGGATCAAATGGAAAATGAAGTAACATATATTGAGCAGCCACCTTTTCAGAGATTAGACTATATGGAAACGCTCCACTATGGTCAGGCATTTCATCGAACAGTGAGGAAGCAACTCCAGATTTCTCAAGGTCTGAGAAAATAGGGGCAACGGACAGAGATTCGTGCCGCTCAATTTCTGGCTTTGTGTCCCAAGTAACAATCGCAAGTGGCTGCGAATTGAAATTTGTCGTCACGAAATCTTCTTCCTCTATTTTGTCATTGTCCGAACCAGAGTTCAACTCAGAGGAAATGACGACGGCATCCGAAATATTTACAGATTCAACAGACAAAATGACAGCAGCAGTAGAGTGCTCAAACTCTAATAGGCTGGGATTTTGTTTGGTTAACACCTTGGAGAGGCTGTGAGGCATTTCGTCGAATACCAGGGTTGCAGTCATGTCTGAATTGATATGTACTGAAATTGGAACAGCCATATTAGTCTCCTCATCGATCATTTCAGCAAATATAATAGAGTCGCAACTCATGTCTTGCAGTAGTGATTTATCTGGAGTTGGAGGTGGAAAAGTGAGGCACGGGGGCGGAAGTGGAGTCAGAAAAAATGGTTGTTGAAATGGGCATGGAGGTGGAAAAGAAGCCACCCAGTTGGTAGAGGAGTGACAACGAGAGCACCAATGTAATGTATCCATATTTATCAAAGGAACATATAATGTGATATTCAACCAAACTGAGGAATTACAACTGATTCATGGAACAAAAAAAATGAAAAATAAGAAAAGGGAGGTTCCAGACTGCTATTACAAAATAGCTAATGAAAAGAAAAGACCAAGTTCTAGCTTGCCTAACAACTACACACACTCCTGCTATTTATATCTCCTCCATTTCCTTCAGCACCCTAATATTTTGATGGATTTTCTCAACCCGGATCCCACATCACATATTGGTATTTCCTCATTTTAACAACTGGCCCAAATACCAGCCCAATAGTATAATTGGTAAAGGACCTGTTCATAACAGTTATGCTTATCTTTGGTTATATTCTTTCAATGCAAGGGTTATGCAAGAGGTTTTTCAATGCTTATGCTTATCTTCGAGTTATTTTATTCCATGTAAATGAAATGTGGAACCATAAACTAAAATCGAATATTTTTTGGATTCTTTATTTTATTTTTTAATTTTATTAAGTTCAACTAATTTCATTTATATAGAACAGCGTATATATCTAATAAATAATCCAGATGTGAAAAATTGTCCTTGAAAATATTGAATGAATTGATCTTTAATTTTGAGATTTTAAAAAAAATTGCCTTCGGAAGAAGATATTAATGGTTAGATAAAATGGAAAGAGATTGTCTCTCAAGTTTGAAGACATTTCTATCTAATCTTGCACAATCTTCAGAAATACAAAACTACAATGAAAATTTATGATGCTCTTAATTTCCTTTTTGTCTTTTGTTGGTATAATGATTAAAATATTACTTAGATCACCTATTCATGTTCCATTCCCCCACCATGAGTACCTGATTTAGCTTAGTATTTCAGAAGCCTGAGAACCTGGTTGTTTTGGCTTGAATCGAGGATTTTGACAGTTTGACGTTTGGGTCATCTAAAGCTTCACTGGTTGTCTTCTGGGAACAATTTAACATCATGAGCTTCTTAGTAAGTTTGCAGTATAAAATGGCTATCTCAAAAATAAAGTCCA